AAAACTAATACTATTTTTCCCTTCATTGGACAAAGAAACTAAATCTCTCAGCCTCCTTTGCTATTGCATGTGGCCACGAGAGTTGTCCTTTGCAACAGAGTGCAGGCAGAGGTGATGTTGGTCATTTCTGGTCTAAGGCTATTAAGAAACAAATGTGCCTCCTCTGTATATTCTTTCTTCTTTTGACCCACTGCACATAGATTAGGATAAGACCCTAGAAGATGGTTGATCCACAAGGTAGGAGGACCCTCACTTCCTGAATCACTGCTTAAAAAACTACTCACTGACCAGCATTATCCAACTTGAACTCTTACAGAAGCTAGAAATAAATGGCAAGTATGTTTGAGTTAGTATATATTTCTGGGTCTATTTGTTATCATAGCCATCCTAATTAATATAATAACTTGAATCACATGACTGTTCATATGTTTTTTTTCTGACAAATATATTTTTGACTTGAGGATAAGATGGCAAATACAAGTGAAATAAAAGTTATACTTATTAATCTTGGGAAAAGATGTTTCCCAGGTTTGATTGATTCCCTCTATTAAAATTATATCCCTGCCCTAGTCTACCAGGATTTTATCTTTTCAAATAGAAGATTCTCTTAAATTCTTTATATAGTAAAATGCCAAATCTGATGGTACAAGTTTTATGCAAGTTAAGGTGGCCATTAAGAAGGGCAAAACCTATGGTTTAGGCAGGCTGTAGGAAAGAAGCAAATAGGCAGATCTTCACTAGAGGCCACAGGAATATTAAAATAGAAAAGCAAGCAGCGTCTAGAGCTAAGCAGAAAATCAAGTCTAGTAAGTAAAAAGGTAACCCATCAGGATACAAAGCCAAAGTGACCAGAAATAAGTATTAAGTATTTAGGTCCAAAAGAAGTCATTACTGACAAAAAGGGACAAAAGCCAGAGTTTCAGGGCTAGTGTATAAAGGGTGTGGTCTAGAGCAACTACCTAGAAAAGGCATTGTTTGCTGTAATTTGATTTTATGTATATACTTTAGTATGGAAAAGCTGACCAACAGAGATAGAAAACACACACTAATAATTTATTTATTAAAGGTTCTGGTCACTAATTTACTCACTAGATTACTCACTTATTATAAAAGTACATAATTCAGGAACAGCCAGATGGAAGAGATGCATAAGGCAAGGTATAGGGAAAGTGAGTTAAGTTTCCAGGTTCTCTCCAAACACATCACTCTCTCCAATTCCCATGTAGTCACCAACCTGGAACTCTCCAAACCCAGTTCTTTGGGCTTTTATGGAGGCTTCATTATAGACCTGATTGATTAGATTATAGGTTATTGAACTCAATCTGGAGCCCCTTGCCACTTCCTAGAGGTTGGGGGCAGGAGTAAAATTTTCAACCATCTGATCACCTAGTTGGGTTCCCCTGGCAACCAGCCCCTATCCATAGATATGGTCAAAAAGTTACTCACTAATGTAATAAAATACATTTTCTAGCTCTGATCTCATCACTTAGAAAATTCCAAGGGTTTTAGGAGCTCGGCACAAAGACCAAATGTATTTTTCTTGTTATAAATCACAATAACACAGTCGCAAATATACATATTTTTGCTCCTCAATAGTTTATTGCAAGTAGGGGTTAGTGGAATTAATGAAACAGTAGATGCCAATTAAGTATGTTTGTTAGATGGATGAGAAGATGAGTAGAAGTGACTCTATTGCTCAGATCAAAATCCTTTGATAGAAGTAAAGGCTTAAAATTTGGACAATGGCTTGCCTGGATTCAAATCCTAGTTCCGTCAGTTAGGGTGTGGTCTAGGCAAGTAACTTGATTTTCGGGCTTCAGTGTGCTCAGTGTAAGATAGGATTAAAAATACTTTATTTATAGGGTTCTTATAGGATTAAATGAGTTGATAAAATTAAAATGCCTGACAAAGTATGACATATGAGAACAGTGCCTAACAAAGAGTAAGAGCCCTGTATTAATTATTATTACTTTTTCATTATATTTGATATGGAATCCTATATTCTTAATTTCATCAATAGCATAGTGCTCAAATAACAACATACTTTAGTAATGAGTGGGAAGAATACAGTAAAACACTTGTTACACCTATCAAAATCCACTGGAAAGTGAAGGACAGAACATACAGGAAGGTCTGCTTTGTATGTATATTTTGTTTCAAGAATTTATAATTCATATTATTCATTATAATAAAAAGGAAGCAAAGAGATGGAAGTGCTGTTGTCTTTTCATAACTAAATTTATAAACCTATACTGTATGTTCATGGATCTTCTACCCTGATACAATGAAGGAAGCATTCATTCTTTCAGCAGAAGTCAAATTCTTCACATGTGTTTTGGCTCCATTTCCCATTTCCTTTGCTTCTGCAATTATCTTAACTTTCTCCATCATCATTCCCTCTCTACCAGATCATTCCCATCAATATTTAATCCACCACAACCACCACTACCATCAATGCAAGGTCCACTACATTCTCTCAACCTTCGTTGTCCTCTAGCTAACATTCCATTTTTCCTGTTCAATATTAGAGTTAAAAACTATTGCAAACATTGTTATACTATCCCCTTCACTTCACATTCTATTAATTTTTCAACTCATTTAGATATGGATTTCATGTCTACTGTTCCCACCCAACTGTTGAAACTCTTCCTTTTAAAGGCTTCTCTAGTAATAAGTACAAAGGATGCCTTTTTCTGTTCTAATCTTTTTGGAACTCTCAATGAAATTTAACATAGTTGGTCATTTCTCCTTCTTGAAATATTTTTTTCAGATTCTCTGATATCTAGATTCTATAAAGCTCTTTTGATATTTTCAAGATCTCTTTTTTCCTCCTAGATTCTCTGAAACTCCCCCAGTTTTTCTTCTAGCCTACTGATTGTTCCATCTTAGTTTTGCTTGCAGACTCTTTCTTTTCTACAAAATTTCTAGAGTTGTTGGAGACTTGATGCTAGATCCTCTTCGTGCCTCTACCGCTCTCCTCTAATGCTCATGGCTTTCCTATCAATATCTGTGTCGATGACTCAAATTTATCACCTCCACTTGGAACTCTCTTAGGTTTTTTTCAGACTTGGTATATTCAAAACCAAGATCTTGTTTGCTATCAGAAATCAATTATTTCTAAAACCAACCCTCCTTATTTAAAAAAAAAACACCTAAGAGCTTATTCTTCCCACATCAGTTTTATCAATGAGTCCTGTAAATTTTACCTAAAAAACATAACTCAACTGATTTTTTCTTCATTTCCCTGCCATCACCCTACTTCAGGTTTTTAACAACTATTAATTTGATGACTGCAATGGTTTCTTAAATATTCTCTGCATTTCCCAACACACAACACACTTCATTGCCCACACAGTGACCAAGGCAGAACGATCTCTTAAAACTTTGCTGTTAAAGTTCAATGGCTTACAGATGCATATGCCTTCATGATAAAATTCTAACACTTTGCCATAGCCTACAAAGAATTACAAGCTTTTACACTTGTTTACTTACCCAAAACTATCTTCCAATTACTTCTAACTGCATTTTCTATGCTGTAGCCAAGACATAAATGATTTGGGGGTAATCCCTAGGCACTATTTTGAATACCAGAACTATAAATGACAAAAATAAGGTCAGCTCCTTTTATTACAGTTTTACAAATAAGAACTTCAATTTGACTTAGTTGAATAAATATGTGGGTACCTACTATGAAAAGGGTCATCAAAAAGTGAAAACAGTATTGGCTCTCAAGAAGAATACTATAGTCTAAAAAAAAAAAAAAGGACTTGTAGTCTAGTAGGGGAGGCAAATGGATAAAGCAAATAACTTCAAAATAATGTGACAGATGTTAAGAAAGAAATATATACAGGGAGCCTTGGAATCATGAAAGAAAGACATTTTACCCCATCTGGGTCAGGCTAGGTGGTTGTCAGCAAAAATTTTCTGGAGACAATAACAGCTGGACTTATTCTTAGGAGAGTATTTATTTTTTATTTTTATTACTATAAGATCCATGTTTTGCATATATGGGAATATTTCATGAATTTGAATAAGCTGTGGGTGAGAGAAGAAGAAACAAGGCATTCCTAGGAAAAAGATAATTTCATAATCAAAAATACAGATGTGAAGAAAATAACAATATGTGAAATTTGGTATTATGAAATATAAAGCCAGCAGCTGTTATCAGAAGTTAGTTGCTAAAGATGCCGAAGTAAACAGGTGAATACATGAACTGAATTTAAATGCCAGAAGAGAGAACAGACCTGAAGATAAATATCTGACTCAACAGCACAGAAATTTTTAGGTAAAATTATAAACACAGTTAAAACAAGAGAGCTAACGATAGAACCTTGGGGAAATCAATATTTAGTATGTAGCTACTAGGTTAGCCAAACACTAAGAAGAAAATTAAAATTGTGACTGTAGCCTCTTGATATGCAAGTATCTAGGGAAATAGCTATGTAAAGAGTCCTTGGATATATATATGGATACACCCAAGTTTACCATGGAAAGCCCAACTTTGTTCCTATTGTCCTGGTGAAGTTTACTAAGAGTGACTGCTTTCTCTCTCAGAAATGACCCAGTTTGGAAGACAAATTATATGGTCACCTTAGCAAAAGGGACACTGCCCAATAATAGACAAGAAGTAGGAGAGTAACACTGCTGTCTGCACTGTTTTAAGTAAAATAAAATATCTTATGCCCAAAACTTAGTGTATATATAATAAACATGTCTGTTAAAATATAATAATATGTAGAGATACCCAAAGCCCTGTGAAAGTTGAGACTACACTTTAATCCACCACTCTGTACTGAGCACTTAGAAGAATGTCTGGTGCATGGCAGGCTTTCAGGAAATAAGTGCCTAGTGAATATTTTTCTTAGAGATGCAGCTAGGCCAGTTCAGGGATACTTCAGTTTGGGCTGTGGGCTGCTAATATAAACCTGTACTTTCTTTTTATCTTTTGCTCCCTCAATTTCCTTTCTGTACTCTCCAAACCTCCCATTATTCTCTCTAAAACCATACACTTCAAATATGATAGTCACAATTTCTGAACAGAACTTGGACATTTCTACTTATCTTTTGCTCATGCTGTTCTCATTTGTTTGAAAGGCCTCATTTGCAACACCATACATAAAAAAGTTATTCATCTTGAATAACAAAAATGCTGTCATTTATTGGGCTCTTACCATGTGGTGGCTATTAGGCTTACTTCTTTACTAATATAATATATGTGTATATATGGTGTCTGTGTGTGTGTGTGTGTGTGTGTGTATATATATATATATATATATACCATTTATTTTAATATTGATAACCTTACTAAGTAGATATTATTGGCCACTAATCATAATAATACAGGAAATATTTACTGAGTGTTTGCTATATGTCAACCTATCCTGAGTCTTTTAAACAAATTAGCTCATTTATCTCCTCTCAACAGTCTTATGAAGCAAGTATTGTACCATTTTTTATCCCCATTTTCAGATTAAGAAACTAAAGCTTAAAAAAGTAACCAATATGCTGGAGTGAGAGCCTAACATTTGGCTAACATTCTGGCCAAAGTTAAGAAGAAAAAAAATGTATGAAGACTCTGAGAATGAACAAAAGCAAAGAGATTTTAATGGTCTGTTAAAACAAAAACATCAACACTCTTATAGCACAGGCCAAAGTATCAAAATATAACATTTGCTATGCCCACAACATAATCCGAAACACATAACAAAACACAGAATGAAAATTATATCATGAAGGACACATAAATATAGAAGTCATACAACCACATAACCACATAAGCCATTTAGCCTCCTCCTTTCTGTATGTTATGTGAAGTGGTACAATTTAAAGTAGACTGCATTGGCATAAAATAATGAAAATCACTGTCAAGTCACAGTTCTAATAGAAAAGGAAAAATGTGGCATGAGGTAGATTTGATATTGCATCTTTGACCCAAGCTTATCATAGGAAAATGCCTAGAGATAGAATGATGCATATTTTCCAAATAGTGCTTGATACTGCTATGGAATTAGTCTTTTACCTAAATTACTGAGTCATGTAAGAAAATAATTTATATAATTCTACTTAAAATTCTTCTTTTATAAAGCAATATTTTCTTAATTTTCAGAAAAAAATCAGAACTGACAGAAATAAAAATTACTTGGCCACTGATTTAAAAAGTACTCATAACATTGTAGAAAATAACATATTAAAGTAGTATCTAGTTCCATATTTAGTCTGAAAGACCAGAGCAGGGTATCAGAATCACAATTAATAATTGGATACATACATAGGTGTTTTCAAAAACCCTTTATTGAATTCATAATAGATCAGAAGGCTTTTAAGACTCACCATAAAATAAATGAATCTTTCTGACTCCTGCTTATAATAAGAGATGCTTAATAAATTTTAAACTTTAAGCAAATAACATGAAAATTTGAAAAATTTCCCTCACAAAATTCATGCTAGATTTTTTTTTAATGTTGCTACCAAAGAGAGAGAGCAAGAAAGAAAAAGAGAAAGGGATCTGATTATTAAACAATCCTTGAATAAAATAACAGAGCCACAACTGGATGTCTATCTCCCAATGACTTATCTTTCAAAATGTTATAACATGGCCTGAATAACTCCATACTTGGAAACAAAAGCTCCATTGCAAAGAAATCTCTTATATCTACCACATCGTCCTCTCTCTAAAAGTTGCTCAGTCCAAATATGCTCAGAAGTTTTTCTGTTTCTTTGTTTTCTTTTTCTTTTTTCTGTTTCTTAAGCAGAGGTTTGAAAGGAATATACATGAAACAATATGATGAAATGCTGTTTAATACTGTTTTGGTAGATGATAATGGGGAATAAATAACCTTTTGACAGGTCTCCATCTAGCATCTTAAAATGTCTGACCCAGTACTTATTTCAAAAGTACATAGTCTATCATGTTGGGATTTAGCATTCTTTCAACTTGAAAACTCCCTTTGGCACTTATAAGACAGGTCTAGTGGTGACCAAGTCGCATGGATCATATCATATACAATGGTGAAAAACTGAAAGCTTTTTCTCTATTAGGAACAAACAAAAGATACCACTCCTGTTCAACACAGTACTGGTAGTTCTAGCCAGAGTACTTAGACAAGAAAGATAAATAAAAGGCATCCAAATCAGAAAGAATTAAGATTGTCCCTGTTTGCAGAAGACATAATCTTTTATCTGAAAAACTTTTTGACCTTCCCTGCAAAAAACAAAAAAAAAAGATTAGAACTAATACATTCACTAAACTTGCAGGATACAAAATCAACAAACAAAAATAAGTTGCATTTCTTTCTATACACTAACAACTAATTAACTGAAAAAGAAAATAAGAAAACAATTCCATTTGCAATGGCACCAACACAATAAAATACTTAGAAATAAATTTAACCAAGCAAGCAAGAGGGCTATACACTGAAAACATTAAGACACCAATGAAATTACATGAAGACAGAAATAAATAGAAAGATGTCTTGTATTTTTGGTCAGAAGAATTAATGTGAAAATGTTAAAATGTTAATACTACCCAAAACAATCTACAAACTTAATGCAATCCCTATCAAAATTTCAATGGCATCTTTTACAGAAATTGAAAAAAATACTCTACACCAAAGACCACTAATAGCCAAATAAATCTTTAGAAAGAACAAAGCTAGAGGTATCACACTCTCTGATTTCAAACTATATTACAAAGCTACAGTAATCAAAGTAGTAAGGTACTTGCATAAGATAGCACATTGTAGTCTTTAATAATTCTTTGTATTTCTGTGGAGTCTGTCGTGATTTTTCCGTTCTCATTTCTGATTCTAATGATTTGTGTTGATTCTCTTTTTCTCTTACTAAGTTTGGCTAGAGGCTTATCTATTTTGTTTATTTTCTCAAAGAACCAGCTCTTGGTTTCATTGATTTTTGCTATTGTTTTATTCTTCTCAATTTTGTTTATTTCTTCTCTGATCTTTATTATGTCCCTCCTTCTGCTGACGTTAGGCCTCATTTGTTCTTCTTTTTCCAGTTTTAATAATTGTGATGTTAGACTATTCATTTGGGATTGTTCTTCCTTCTTCAAGTGTGCCTGGATTGCTATATACTTTCCTCTTAAGACTGCTTTCGCTGCATCCCACAGAAGTTGGGGCTTAGTGTTGTTGTTGTCATTTGTTTCTATATATTCCTTGATCTCTATTTTGATTTGTTCATTGATCCATTGATTATTTAGTAGCATGTTGTTAAGCCTCCATGTGTTTGTGAGCCTTTTTGTTTTCTTTGTAGAATTTATTTCTACTTTCATACCTTTGTGGTCTGAAAAATTGGTTGGTAGAATTTCAATATTGTGGAATTTACTGAGGCTCTTTTTGTGAGCTAGTATGTGGTCTATTCTGGAGAATGTTCCATGTGCACTTGAGAAGAATGTATATCCTGTTGCTTTTGGATGTAAAGTTCTATAGATGTCTATTAGGT